ATTTTTTTAATTTACCTATTATGGTCCAATGTCCAAAATCAAAATACATGGTTAGATTCAGCATATCAAAGAACCCCATATATTCAATTTTTGTTGAAATCAAACAAAGTTTAATTTTGGACCCCAACTTGGACAAACTTGAAAACTGGTCCCATAATCAAAAATCTAAACACATGTTTAGATTCAGCATATCAAAGTCACCAAGAATTCAATTTTTGTTAAAATCAAACTAAGTTTAATTTTGGACCCTTTGGACCTTAATGGAGACCAATTTAAAAAACGGGACCCAAAATTAAAAATCTAAAAACACGGTTAGATTTGGCATATCAAAGAACCCCAATAATTCAATTTTTGATGAAAGTTTAATTTTGGACCCTTTTGACCTCAATATGAACCAATTTGATAGCGGGCCCACAAAATAAAAAATCTAAATACATGGTAAGATTCAGCATATCAAAGAACCCCATATATTCAATTTTTGTTGAAATCAAACAAAGTTTAATTTTGGACCCCAATTTGGACCAACTTGAAAACTGGGCCAAAAATCTAAAATCTAAATACATGTTTAGATTCAGCATATCAAAGAACCCCATATATTCAATTTTTGTTGAAATCAAACAAAGTTTAATTTTGGACCCCAACTTGGACCAACTTGAAAACTGGTCCCATAATCAAAAATCTAAACACATGCTTAGATTCAGCATATCAAAGAACCCCAAGAATTCAATTTTTGTTAAAATCAAACGTGTTTAATTTTGGACCCTTTGGACCTTAATGTAGACCAATTTAAAAAACGGGACCCAAAATTAAAAATCTAAATACACGGTTAGATTTGGCATATCAAAGAACCCCAATAATTAAATTTTTGATGAAATCAAACAAAGTTTAATTTTGGACCCTTTTGACCTCAATATGAACCAATTTGATAGCGGGCCCACAAATAAAAAATCTAAATACATGGTAAGATTCAGCATATCAAAGAACCCCATATATTCAATTTTTGTTGAAATCAAACAAAGTTTAATTTTGGACCCCAATTTGGACCAACTTGAAAACTGGGCCAAAAATCTAAAATCTAAATACATGTTTAGATTCAGCATATTAAAGAACCCCATATATTCAATTTTTGTTGAAATCAAACAAAGTTTAATTTTGGACCCCAACTTGGACAAACTTGAAAACTGGGCCCATAATCAAAAATCTAAACACATGATTAGATTCAGCATATCAAAGAACCCCAAGAATTCAATTTTTGTTAAAATCAAACTAAGTTTAATTTTGGACCCTTTGGACCTTAATGTAGACCAATTTAAAAACGGGACCCAAAATTAAAAATCTAAATACACGGTTAGATTTGGCATATCAAAGAACCCCAATAATTCAATTTTTGATGAAATCAAACAAAGTTTAATTTTGGACCCTTTTGACCTCAATATGAACCAATTTGATAGCGGGTCCACAAATAAAAAATCTAAATACATGGTTAGATTCAGCATATCAAAGAACCCCAAGAATTCAATTTTTGATGAAATCAAACAAAGTTTAATTTTGGACCCTTTTGACCTCAATGTGGACAAAGTTGATAACGGGGCCCAAAAATCAAAAATCTAAATACATGGTTAGATTCAGCATATCAAAGAACCCCATGTATTCAATTTTTGTTGAAATCAAACAAAGTTTAATTTTGGACCCCGATTTGGACCAACTTGAAAACTGGGCCCATAATCAAAAATCTAAATACATGTTTAGATTCAGCATATCAAAGAACCCTAAAAATTCAATTTTTGTTAAAATCAAACTAAGTTTAATTTTGGACCCTTTTGACCTTAATGTAGACCAATTTGAAAACGGAACCAAAAATTAAGAATCTAAATACACGGTTAGATTCGGCATATCAAAGAACCCCAATAATTCAATTTTTGATGAAATCAAACAAAGTTAAATTTTGGACCCTTTGGACCTCAATGTGGACCAATTTAAAAACGGGGCCCAAAATCCAAAAACTTAATACACGGTTAGATTCAGCATATTAAAGAACCCCAAGAATTCAAGAATAAAACCCCATTGAAATTGATCAAGAAATAAGCAATTTATACGAAGTATCTTCTTTTGCACAATACTGTGCAATTGAATATTTCTTGCTATTGTGCAATACTGTACAATTGACAATTTCTTGCTATTGCGCAATATTGTGCTATTGGATATTTCTTGCTATTGCGCAATACTGTGCAATTGAAGATTTCTTGCTATTGCGCAATACTGTGCAATTGAAGATTTCTTGCAATTGTGCAATACTGTGCAATTGAAAATTTCTTGCTATTGCACAATACTTATTATATAATAATTTACACATCCTGTTTGGTGTGTATCTCCTACCATATCATTATTATTTGCTTTTAAATATTAATCAGAAATAACCAACTTAAAATGGAAAATTTTAAAAGAAAAAAAAAAGGAAAAAAAGAAAAAAAAATTTTAAAAAAAAATCCCCCCCCCAAATTTTTTTAACCTCCTTATGATTCATCACCCCCAAACTCAATCCCAGCCTTCCCTTTGTGGTATGGTACCTTGCAGTACAATTTCAGAGAGATCCATACACTTGAACACAAGTTATTGTCTGAAAACTAGAAAAATGCTTATTTTTGGCCCCTTTTTGGCCCCCTTTTCCTAAACGTTTCAGGCAATTACCCACAAACTCAATTCCAGCTTTCCCTTTGTGATATGGAACCTTGTAGTACAATTTCAGAAATATCCAAACACTTACACACAAGTTATTGTCATGAAACTAGAAAAATGCTTGTTTTTTGCCCCTTTTTTGGCCCCTAATTCCTAAAATTTTGAGGTAATTACCCCCAAAATCAATTACAGCCTTCCCTTTGTGATATGGAACCTTGTGGTACAATGTCAGAGAGATCCATACACTTACACACAAGTTATTGTCTGGAAGTTACAAAAATGCTTATTTTTGGCCCCTTTTTGGCCCCTAATTCCTTAACTGTTAGTACCATAACCCCCAAAATCAATCCCAACCTTCCTTTCGTGGTATTGAACCTTATGGTAAAATTTCATGGAGATCCATTCACTTAAACTAAAGTTAGAGTGCGAAAACCAATGTGTCTTCGGACGACGCCAGACGACGACGACGACAACGACGACGACAACAACGACGACGACGACGCCAACGTCATACCAATACACGACCAAAAAATTTTCAATTTTTGCGGTCGTATAAAAACAGCAAAATTTCCTTAAAATTACCAATTCAGGGGCAGCAACCCAATAACGGGTTGTCCGATTCATCTGAAAATTTCAGGGCAGATAGATCTTGACCTGATGAACAATTTTACCCCCATGTCAGATTTGCTTTAAATGCTTTGGTTTTTGAGTTAAAAGCCAAAAACTGAATTTTACCCCTAGATTCTATTTTTAGCCGTGGCGGCCATCTTGGTTGGTTGACCAGGTCACGCCACACATTGTTAAAACTAGATAACCAAATGATGATTGTTGCCAAGTTTGGTTTAATTTGGCCACATAGTTTCAGAGGAGAAGATTTTTGTAAAAGATTACTAAGATTTACGAAAAATTGTTAAAAATTGACTATAAAGGGCAATAACTCCTAAAGGGGTCAACTGACCATTTCAGTCATGTTGACTTATTTGTTAATCTTACTTTGCTGAACATTATTGCTGTTTACAGTTTATCTCTATCTATAATAATATTAAAGATAATAACCAAAAACAGCAAAATTTCCTTAAAATTACCAATTCAGGGGCAGCAACCCAACAACAGGTTGTTCGATTCATCTGAAAATTTTAAGGCAGATAGATCTTGACCTGATAAACAATTTTACTTCATGTCAGATTTGCTCTAAATGCTTTGGTTTTTGAGTTATAAGCCAAAAACTGCATTTTACCCCTATGTTTTATTTTTAGCTGTGGCGGCCATCTTGGTTGGTTGGCCTGGTCACGCCACACATTTTTTAAACTAGATACCCCAATGATGATTGTGGCCAAGTTTGGTTTAATTTGGCCCAGTTGTTTCAGAGGAGAAGATTTTTGTAAAAGATTACTAAGATTTACGAAAAATGGTTAAAAATTGACTATAAAGGGCAATTTCTCCTAAAGGGGTCAACTGACCATTTCGGTTATATTGACTTATTTGTAAATCTTACTTTGCTGAACATTATTGCTGTTTACAGTTTATCTCTATCTATAATAATATTCAAGATAATAACCAAAAACAGCAAAATTTCCTTAAAATTACCAATTCAGGGGCAGCAACCCAATAACGGGTTGTCCGATTCATCTGAAAATTTCAGGGCAGATAGATCTTGACCTGATGAACAATTTTACCCCATGTCAGATTTGCTCTTAATGCTTTGGTTTTTGAGTTATAAGCTAAAAACTGCATTTTACCCCTATGTTCTATTTTTAGCCGTGGCGGCCATCTTGGTTGGTTGACAGGGTCACGCCACACATTTTTAAAACTAGATACCCCAATGATGATTGTGGCCAAGTTTGGTTAAATTTGGCCCAGTAGTTTCAGAGGAGAAGATTTTTGTAAAAGTTTACGGACGACGGACGCAAAGTGATGAGAAAAGCTCACTTGACCTTTCAGGTCAGGTGAGCTAAAAATACACATCCGATTTGAATTTTTATCATTAGGTCTACATCTTTCGAAAAATTATTACAAACTTCGAGACATCAGGGCTTGAGTTCAACACAACGAGGTTCAACTGTATTTTGAATTTATATTTTTATTTGAATCTTGAAATCCAGGTTAAAACCAAATTTTTTAGTGTAATTCATTTAGGTCACATCACAATGAGCTTGTGTACTAAGCTTCAAGTAAATGAAAACACAACTGCATGATAAACTACTTTTAACTTCAAACTTAAAACCTGATACTGGACATCTGATGACTCGAAAATTAGATAAGTCAGATGCCTTCGACTTATTGAGGTTGGACTGTATGTGTTATTCAAATTTAAAATACAATACCTAAATGCTGAGCTACTTCAAGGATGAGTTTTGGTGTTCTGTTCTCTACCTTCAAGGCATTGAGAATTGGAGGTAGGTCTTCATCGAACTGTACATCGACAACAGCTCCAATGACCGACACCACACGGCCTTTTGCTGTTTTAGGTTGTGCTGCTGCTTCTGCTGCATAGTAGCCTACCAATAAAAAAGTGTGTATGCAAATTAAAACTTCTTTTATCATAAGCAATAATTTTCATGTAAAGAGGAGATGACAATCAGAAACTAAAGACTTCTTACAGTTAATAAGGCAGTACATGTATCTATGGTTTTCACCAAAGATAGGCAGAAGGATTTCCAAGGATATAGTACATTTTGAACAAGTACAGTGCTGTCTGGTTAATCTGCCTGTCTAAGGATTTTAACTAACTATTGAAGTGTTGTTATAAAAAAAAATTACATTCATAATGTACCATATGCTTAATTTGATTTATTTGAAAATCGTAATATTATAATGAAACACAACAATAAACAATAAAAAATAAACTGTTATCACACAGATATGTCTCACCTTTTTTGTAATTTTGATAATGCAAATGTTGAAATTAAAATAGCAATTTGATCTAAATAAATGCATTTTCAATATTTTTCTCTCAAATTAAAAATTAAGATTTTTGCAGAGTGAATTTAGATCCAGATATTATAATATATTATAACTCATTCAAGCAACGGGTTTCGACCTGTTTCATTCCTTTCAGCTGAAAAACAAAAGAATGATAAAATTATCAAAGAAATGTTTATTTAAAAAAATAAATGACCTCGGAAGCTAAAATTATCAAAGATTGACATTCATTTTTCAATTCTTTTAGTACGTCAGCAACATGTTAAAATTCGTATTGAAATTTCAAGGTCAATTTGTTTACATCAGAAATTTCAGTACAGCCGCATTTTCAACTACTGCTACTTTTAATCGCGCATCATTTCATTACATCAAATCTCCATGTCAACTTATCTGAAACAAAATACACACGTTTGTTTTAGTTTAAGAATAACCTTTGCCAAGGGCGAGAACCTATGCAATTTTCTGCAACCGGCATAATTTGATCATGGATTACAGTCTGAAATATGAGTTTGCAATGTCGAAATAGTGATCTTACGTGTATTAAAATATGCAGGGAGGACTTTAATAGCTGAAGCTGGAACTGCTGGTGATGTAAGGCTATGTTGTGTAGCCTTTAACACTCCAGCACATGCCCTTCTAGCTGCATGCATCATGGCGACTGTGAATATAGTGACATCACGTGACTGCACAGAACTATGGGATAGACGTAAACAATATCAAAGCACAAAAGTGATCAAGGACTACGATATCTCCTTCCAAAACAGAATACTAATGTGTACTTGTAAAGTCTATATATCAGGGGCGGATCCAGGATTTTTGAGAGGGGGCGTTATTCCAAAAAACTAAATAAAGATTAAAACAAAATATAAAAAAAGTTTACGAATATGAAAAATTCCGATAACAATTTCTCATCTTCATTATTCATTTACCATATCAATTTTTTTTTGGTAGGGTCTAGATTTTTAAAATTCTTACAGCAATTATTTTTCATTAGTATCATATCTTTTCGTAGGCCAGTTTATAATAGACTATCACAGTAAAAAAGAAAATGTGTTTCATCTTCGACCTCATTACTACAACATCTTTGACATACTCTATTGTGTCGAGGAGTATTATTATATCTACCTCTCTCTATAAGTAAATGGTGAGCCGATATGCGAAATCTTGTTAGACTCTTTGTCTTTCTTTAATTTTTTTTACAATATCAAGATATTTTTCGCAACCAACATTTGATTTAGTTTCCCTTCCGAGTGGTTATTGAGATTTTCCCAATCTTTCAAAAAGGCCGCCTGAATTTTAAATTTTCTGTTCACGGTCTAATGATTTACCCTGTCAGAGGAAGTTCCTTAGACGACATGTACCACGACGGTTTCTTTAAATAACTCATCCAATTTCTTAGTTTCTAAAAAAGGATTATATAACAGTGGGAAGTTGGTGCCAGATTTTGTCTAATCTGTAGTAGTATTTAATCATTGCTTTCATCATGTTAAAAGATATTGGCAGTCTTCCCAACTCAATTAACACAGCAAAGTTAGTACTTCTTTTTGGAGCTCCGAGAATGAATTTACAGAAATTAGTATGAAGTTTTCAGCAGGTAATTTAAAGTAAATATGGTCAAATGAAACAATCCCATTTCTAAATTTAGCAGACATTGGATTAAAGGCACCCAATATCTCACAACTGTATAAAAGGATAGGTTTAATGGTATGATCGAATACATGCATGCTTTGTTTTGATTGAAGGATGCGAGGATAAAAAAATCTTAAGACAATTTAAAATATGCTTTTAATGTCTTTTTATACAATTCATCCTGTGCTACTGTAAAGGATCCAGATGCAAAATATTTATATTGATTAACACACTCTAGTTTTACACCATTTAGCATAAAATCATATTTGATAATCAATCAATCTGCCTTGTTGAATATAAGAACCTTTGTTTAATTTGTATTCACACTTAAACCCAGTCATTGCGGTAATTTTGCAAAATATCCAATTTTATTTGCAAGCCGTCGGGAGATCTCGATAATAAAACAACAAAACAATTGTCGTCAACATACATAAGAAAGTGTAATTCTTGATTATATTTATTTATCGAAACTGGGTCCTCAGAGTTTTTAAATAGTTTGTCAAATTATAAATAAAGATCTTGAGTAGATTAGGACACATGTTGTCTCGAAATCCTTGTTTTACCCCCAGGTGTGTTGAAAAGCTGTTAGTTAAGTTTTCATTTGCTTTTACACACGATTTGCTTACTCCATACATGTTTTTAATGATGTTGTGAAATGAAGATCCCACCCTAATATCTAGTAGTTTCAGTTTGATTCCATTGTGAATAACAGTATCAAGGCCTTTTCAGTTGAAGTCTACAAAGCAGGCATATAGTCTACCACCAGGATTATTACAATATTTATCAATAATTGTCTTGATTACAAACATGTAGTCAGAGGGGGTGTTCACGTTTCTCCAACATTTGTTATTTTAGTCTGCAGGTAAATAATTTCTTGTTGGATAAACGTGATTTTTTGGCAATAGGGATTAATGAAATTTAAATGTAAATGAAGTTACAGAGAATCCAACTCAAATTAACTTTTGAATAATCTGACGGATTGGTAGTTGAAAAAATGTCAAAACTGAAAAAAAAATATATATATATTTTACCAAAGAGCACTTTATAAACAAAACAGTGATTAACAACAGAACTATTTTACAATCGTATAAAACTATCAACAATATTTGCACTTATGGACAAATACACTATAAAATACGGAAGCCCAAACGGCCATTTAGGAAATATAATCCGAATTCGATATCACGAATTTAAATTGTTATCACGAATTCTAGAATTAGTTATTAAGTTATAACAGTTTTTGTAATTCGTAATAACGGATTAGATTCGTTATCAATTTTTTTTGTAATTCGTGATAACGGATTAAAAACGTGATAACCAACTTTATAATTCGATATTACGGATTAAAATCGTTCACACGAATTTGTGTAATTTGTTATCACAGTTTTTTTTGTAATTCGTGATTACTGATTAAATTCGTTATCACAGATTATTGTAATTCGTGATAACGGTTTAAAATCGTTATAACAAATTGTATAATTTGTGATAACGGATTAAATTCGTTATAACTATTTCTACGAATTTGTGATAACGAATTTAATTCGTTAATTATAACTATTTATGAAATTCATTATAACGATTTTAATCCGTTATTACGAATTACCAAAAAAATGTGATAACAATTTCTACAAATTCGTGATAACGAATTCAATCCGTTATAACGATTTATACAATTCGTTATCACGATTTATAAAATTCGTTATTACGATTTTAATCCGTTATTACGAATTACAAAAACTGTTATAACTAATTCCGGAAATTCGTTATCACGAATTCAATCTATTATAACGAATTCTTCAATTCGTGATAACGATTTAAATTCGTGATTTCGAATTCAAATATATATTTTTAGGAGGTCCTAAATGGGCTTCCGTAATAAAATCTTCAAATTATGCACATGAAAATAATGCCTTAAATTGAAGGCACATTAATAGTATACATTTTAATCTTTAAATTAAACACAAAATGTTTCATTAATAAACAAGAGTGCACACGATGAAATGTCTTGCCTGCTTTACTTATGATTGAATTTATGTTGAAAGTCTTTAACAGCTATATGAAGGTTTTGTTACAAATATCACATAAACTCTACACAATCAATGCTACATGTAAATGAGGACCAGGTGAGATGAACCCTGTACACTTTACAATCATAAAATACACCAAATATAGTTAGCCTATTTCTTTAATACAGGATCTGGGAAACATTTATTGAGTGCAGTGTGAAAAGCAGCTTCTCAAGGTTATATTGGGGAATGCTTTATGGGCAGAATTACGGGTAGCTGTCTCAAAGTCAGTAAAGAATATATGTGGTGCCAATTGGAGTTGGTGTTGTTGAAAAGCAGTCTTCAGCAAGTTGAATAATCGGTCTTACATGTATGTCTGCTCACTTTAATTGTGTATTAGACTTAAGACGAGTTGGTATATTTCTGAATCGACCATTGCGTGTATTTGTAGAGTTGAACAAACTGGGAATGGTAGTACCGTACCCTTCAAAGGAGTTGTATAAGTTCACTTTATTTAATACTATGGTCAATGATTTATTAATTTGTTTACAAGATTGTGAAATTTGCAGATGACGGTGTTACATAGAAATCAGGTTCATGCATTTAGTTTTTACGGACAAAAATACGACAAGACTAGATAATATATGTAAATGGTGCTCTTCAGGGGGGTTTTAAAATTTCTCCAAGTAAAAACTGTAGCTATGATATTTATCAGAAGGAAAAATGTATATACTACTTAGAAACTTGGAAATCATATATTGGAAATAATTAAAGAAATAAAATTTAAAGGATTATTTTTGACAGACTTAACTTTCAAATTGCATAAGCTGTGTATATGTTCCGGACCATATGAGTATTTGGACAATACGCGTATGGTCATGACCATATGGGTATATACTCATATGGTACGACCATACGCGTATGGTCCGGATATTTAATACGATGAACATTGTATTATGTATGACCCTTCAAAGTGTCATAAATTAACAGTTTCTAAAATGAAATTGTGACTTATTTAATCAAAATGGTAACCATTGTGACATGATTAAAGAAATAAAGTAAATTTTACTGACAATTTGAAATTATAGTAAAAGCAATTTTACATGGTCATTATCTATTTTTCCTTACGGAACACAATATGTCGACTTCGAATTCGGAATATAACTTCAAGAAATATCTAAATGAATCGTTAATACAGAAGTCAACTGTTTAATTCACATGCGCTCTATTTTTTTTTTCTTTCTATTGTGATGTTTTAATTTTGTTTTTAGTAAATTAGAATTTCTTAAATATTTCAAATAAGTGAAAATAAGTAGAAATAAGAAGAATAAAATAATTAAGAAATCTAAATACCCGGGAAAGAAGAAAAAAGTCCCCAAACACCGGTGGTTTCACTTACGGAAGAAAAGGTCGACAGGATAAAGGCGCTTTAAATTGTCTCAGTTTAGCGAAGGCAAGATAACAGATATAAAAACATTCAAACAACAGGATTTCAGTAACTAACTAAGTGTGGATTTTGGTTTGAAGAACAGGATGTGTGTACCTGCGAAGGGAGTTATGATTTATTCGAAAAAATACCTATATGGTCTAAATACTCATAGGGTCCGGCCCGTTAATAACCAAACGAGTCATGACCATAAGCGTATAGTCCAAATACTCACATGGTCCGGAACATATTCACTTCGAAGACTTATCTATCTTTGATTGGATGAAAAATTGATTATGGCTGTGAAATATATAGTTCAGCTTCTTTTACATCTAAAAATGTTTAGATACCATACAAACTCATTAAATGTACCGACTCAATGCGATCTGCTTCTTTGCAATCTTCACCAAGTTGAAATGGATGATTAACCTTAAGAAATAAAAAGACAGAGTCTGGCTAAAGATGCGGTTTACGATACTTTTTATTTTTGATTATTAATAAAACATTGTTAAACAAAAACCTTTTTAAAGCTGTCATATAATTATATTCTTATTTAATATTATAATCGCAATTCGAACCGTATTGGAAGAATAATTTTTTCTGAAATTGTTTTTATT